TCTTTCTTCTTGAAGCATGCCGATGTTCTGCGTCAGCCAATGGATTGGGCAGTAAGTTGTGTGTCCGGTCTAACACTTGCGCGTGTGTGTTTTGCGCCCTCGCACAACGATAGGCATTTCCATCTCTGACTGTGTGTACCAGGTCGGACCTCCCTAATGCAACCTTTTGAGAGACAGTACTTCCCGCTAGCGCCTCAGCCTTTTAGGATTAACTTCGTGCATACCCGAGATGTCGATTGAGACGAAAATTCCAGGCGCCATGTGTTGCGAAGGAGGCCAAAACTTCTTACATGCATTCTGGGAGCTAAGTTACAGAAGCCAGTTTCGCTGGCCGTTGGTGCTTGCAACGCAGAATGCATGAGATACACGCAGAATTGGAATTTCGAGAAACTGAAAGACCTTGCCTAATAAGTCACAATCGGGCAATTGGAGCGGTTACTTAGCTCAGACAAAGCCAGTCTGCTCTCGAGTAGACTTTCCGCTCCTGTTAGGACCCTCGCCTGGTACGTGCAATTAACACGAACCGTGAGCCTGCTGGGCTGTTGTCCCCAAAGCCAGCACGCGAGAGAAAGGGAAGGCAAGCGACCACAGGGATAGCTGTATTAACAGTTAGCAAGTCATTCTCACAGAAAGACTGCGTATATTCATTGGTCCGCTTGATGAGGAATCGACGGCGACCATGGACCAATTGGATCTGACGAGCAATCGATAGCCACGGTGCGGGCCTAATGACAGCAGCTTGACAACTGACGCAGGCGCCTTTCTGTGCGATGACTCATCGTGAGAATGGAGATATTCCCAAAAGTTTCAGATTGCTTTCAATGCGCCCTCCTGTGAACCCGTCGCCCGTTTCCAAGGGGGTAACTGTTGCAATTCAGCAGTTTCAAAGCGCCTCCTTTTGGTTCTAAATTTGCATAAGCCGGGGCAGAAGTTTCAGGCGCGGAGGTCAATCCTGCTGAGATCTGCAACCCTCGAGGGTTGAAGAAGAAAACAGCAAAAAAACAACAGATTTACCGGATTTGCAGTAACAGTAACGAGAGTTCGCTTGTGCGTGTTATCAGCAGATTGCGCCATGTCATAATGGCGTCGACAGTGCGCGCACGCGCTGACGAAAATCGATCAGCCAATCAATTATCGATTACATAATTATCCCAGTCAATGACAACCAGGCACGCGTGAAGCGCGTGTTTGCGTAATACGCTAACGCGCGCAATGCTATAGCACCGCGATCACAAAAGTTTCGACTGAGGGCAGAACCCCTGGGAACTCCAAGCAGTTTATCAGCGAGAAGGGAGATTCACGAGCCTGCAGCAACAGCAGTAGATATAGCCTTCAACTCAACAATATGAATAAAGGCTCC